GTTTAGCTGTTTATATTAATGTTTATGTCTCTAAATGTGGTGGTGGAAACCATAAACAAAGATGAAATTCCCTGGGGAGTATCTATAGGAACATGAGATGTAGGAAATTTCTGGAACAAAGACACTGGCAATATTCATATTAAGGAGAACTTCAGGTAACAGTGGCATGCAGAGGTGTCTTTATCTCCATCTAGATACATCCTGCTCTGCTTCTGACCTTACTGCCAAGTCCAGGATTTTTAGGATGGCATATGAAACATCTCCAGCTAGAAATCAACATGAACTCAATGTTATAGACTAAATATTTGTAGTCTCTAAATTTCTTATGTTAAAACGTTAATCCCCATGCAATTCAGAAACATGAGATAGACTTCATTTCTTCTCACAGATGTATAATGTGACTATTTTCCAATTATGCCAAGCATGTCCTTTATATTAGTTTTGTAGGTTTCCTACTAATAGCTAATGACTGGTTTCATGATCAGTGGATATGCAATTATTTCTCTTTAAAAATAAAGAAAATTTCAAAAATTTAGTGAAGTAATGAAGCTTACTAGACTATATATGTGTGTGTATGTGTATATGTGTGTGTGTGTATATATATATATATATATATATATATTCTTTAAAGAAATTTGAGCCCTATATGAGCCAGCCCAACTAAAATATAAATGTTAACTACTCATGGGTTATAATAGACATATTAAAATTTAACATGTAAAATTTTTTTTAATTGATTCTGGAAAAATCTTCTTGAAGCAATAAATGCTTCAGAAATCAGTTAAAAGTCCACAAATGATAACAGCATTTTGCTCACTTCAATGGAAATAGTCTTATTAATATGCCAGCCGCTAAAAGTGAATGAACCAAGCTATGACCCTTGCCTGCCTCAGGGAAGAAACCTTACTCACAGACTTTTGCTTTTCCTTATTTAGATTGTTAACAGTTACTCCAGTGATAGCCATTGGCCATACATTTACCATCTTCCCTCCTCCTCTACTGTGAGCTTTTACAAATTCTACTGCTAACTTTAGTATTTTCAGTGAAAAATAACTACTTCTGGTTGCATTTTAAACTATTTTAACTGGCATTATTGATGGATAGCCTTCTTGGTCATAATTTCATTCCTAAACTCCAGAATTTAGAACCATCCAGTCTTCTATGAACTCAAAGAATACCATCAGGCACATGTAGGTAATTCAGCTCTTGGCAAACTAAGGCAAGAGGCTCATAAGCTTGAGGCCCTCCTGTCTCAATGGGCCAGAGATGGTTGTTTAAGTGATTCCCTTGCAAGCTTGAGTTCAAATCCCTGCTACATCTTTATAGGAAAGCCAGGTACAAGGGCATGTGTCTGTAATCTCAGCACTGGGAGGTAGGGATAGGAAAGTCCCCAGGACTGACTAATCAGCCACTCTAGCCAACTCAATGAGCTCCAGAACAGAGAGAGATCCTGTTTCATAACACATGGTGGATGATGCCTGTGATGGCCAATCTTGGTTGTCAATTTGTCTGCCTCAGGAATCAACTGAAACACAAACAGCAAGGCAATCATATGGGGGCTTTTCCTTTATTGTTGTTGTTTCAAAATATTTTTTGCTTTTTTCCTTTTTATTGAAAATAGATTTTTTTCCCTTACATAGTATACCCTGATTATTATTTCCCTTCCCTCAGTTCCTCCTAGTTTTTCCCAACTTTCCTTCATCTGGATCCACCCCCTTTCTGTAGCTCATTAAAAAACAAACAAACTTCTGAGGCAAAATAATAAAATAAGATAAAACAAAAAATGACACATTGGAATAAGACAAAACAAACAGGTGAAAAAAGAGTCCAAGAAAAGGCAAAAGAAACAGATATAGACAGAGACCCACTCACTCACACACTCAAGAATCCCATAAAAACACTAAACTAGAAACCGCAATACATACCCAAAGGACAGATTATCTGAAGTGGGAAGACCTATGCTAAACATAAATGGCTCCTTCTAGTAGCAGCCCAGATAAAAGGACATGGAAGAAGGAAACTGTGCCTTTTGCCTGTTTGCCCTCACCTTTGTTGGCAAGTTCATTTATTCTGTTACTGCATCATTCTTTCACCAACATTAAAACCAACTTCTTCAGGATTCCAACACAGACTGAAGACCAGCAGCTTTCCAGGAATCCTCCAATCCTTCAGTGCCATATTGGAATGTTTGGGATAACCAGCCTCAAGGACTGAACAAGTAATGGGGTCTCACCTTTCCAATGTGAAACTGCCATTGTGGAACTACCCAGACCACATCCTGTAAACCAATGTAATAGATTGGATAGTTAAAAAGATTGACTGGTGGATCTTATAAGTTTCATTCCTTCAGAGAACCCTTGAGTATTGCAATGCCTGAGGGAAAACACCCAAAGTTGATCCTTTGCTTCCTTACAAGAACCTGTCCACAAACATACATATTCATACATGCAAAAGAGAGTCCCATAGAAATGAACATCATGAGAAACAACATAGATACTTCAAGTTATCTGCTCTATAAAAGTTGCATTGAATTAAATCAAAACTTTCAAATAATTTCTTTTCACAGGAATGAGGTTTTGCTTTAAAGTAAATGGCTTAAAGGGAAAATTTTGTTTCTATATTTGGTGACTTAAAAGGCTAGTGTTAGGAAGCCATCATATAAAATCACTCTTAAATTAAAGCAATTCAGCAATAGAGCTCAAAACGGAATTCTGATTCATGGTAAATATTTTTAAAATTGTGTCTAAATGGAACATTGAAGCCTTCATTACTATAACTTGGATTTCAAATCCTCAGAACTTGTCCAATACCTTTCTTGATTATTGGGGTGGCTTAACATGAGAAAGCCTTTACTAATTACACATTAAGATTAAAATGCCAAGAACATTCTTTCCATTTGCCAGTTTTGTGAACTATCCAATGCTCCTGGTTAACATTTCCAAGTGTGACATAAAGGTACTTTTGCTTTATATGAGAAAAACTGACTGTGCCCTCATCTGAAACCTTGACAAGTACTCTAGCAGCAATTAGCAGCCCCCAACTTCTTAGTCAGAATGTAAAGTTTTACAGAAAGTTTTCAAACCTGCTCCTTCCTTCCTCCAAACAGCAAATAGCTAGACTACATAGAGCTATTGAAGGCAGAAAGCACAGATGTAACCAGAAGGTTTTCTCCGGTCTCACAGTTCCACAGCCACTTATAAAGTAATCACTCAGAGGCTTAATATTATTTACAGACTGTATGGCCAATGGCTCAAGCTTCTTGCTAGCTAGCTCTTTCATATTAAATTAACCCATTTCTATTAATCTATGTTTTGCCACGTGGCTGTGGCATTACCAGTCTATAGACGAAATTCTAAACAGTCTTAGTAAGTAAGAAACATAGAGCCAAATACAGTGGTAAATAGCCAAAGAGATCAGAGAGTCACAACTACCTTATCTTGCCACCTCACTGCTGTCCCACTTCTGACACTAGTGAGGTGGCTGAGGTGGTAAGATAAGGTAGTTGTGACTCTCTGATCTCTTTGGCTATTTACCACTGTATTTGGCTCTATGTTTCTTACTTACTAAGACTGTTTAGAATTTCATCTACACTGGTCTGTTGGCATCTTGCTGCTCCTTCAGCAGTGACTGGTGTCTCTCCCAACTTCACTTTTCTCTTTCCTGTCTCTCTCCTTGTCTCTCTCCTGTCTCTTTCCCACCTGCCTCTAAGCTGCCTTGCCATAGGCCAAAGTAGCTTCTTTACTAACCAATGGGAATAACATATATTCACAGCATACAGAAAGACATTCCCCAGCACTTTCTCTTTTCTATGTTATCAAAAAGGAAGGTTTTAGCTTTAATATAGTAAAATTACATATAACAAACAGTTATCAAGCAAGAATTACAGTTACAATATCTAGTCTATTTGTATTTGGCAAAATTAAAGAAAATATTTTATCATCTATCCTATATTTGTGAGTCTAAAGTTTCATATCTAATTTATCTTTTATCATAACCAAGGAAAATTATAACTGTAACTATCTAGTCTTCAACTACATCAAAGACCCCCAGAAGGCTATATTACCTAGGTAAACAGGAAATGCATTGTAAGAAACTTCCAAAATTCTGAAAATGACAGAGACAGCTGGTGCCTGGACAGTCACCCAAAGTTCCTCTACAACATTGTGGCATCCATCTTCAGCCTATAAGCCTCTTTTTTTTACAGCATATATTCACAGCACACAGAAAGACATCCTGAGCACATGAATCTCTCCCTGCATTGAAAACCAGCTCTGCCACTTCTACCCCTGGCACCAAGAAATGACAAGAAAAATAAAAGGCACAAAGAAGGAAAGGTGTGGGTGATTGGGTTAGGCAAGGCTGGCTTAGGCACTGTCCCGAAAGTAGAATCTGTAAGACAATAAAATGATTGGTTGGATCCCATCAAAGTCAAAATTCCGACTCAAAACTGATATTGAGGGAAAAAAGAGAATCTGCAGACTCAGAAAATATTTGCAAATCATACATATAAGTTGAAGCATTTGAAGAACACATGAAGAAATCTCAACTTGCTAAGAATAAAATTTTAGCAGCCAAAAAGTATAACAGAAGCCTGCCCAGAGAAGGTATGCTGGGAACAAGTAAAAGATTAAAAAAGCATTCAACATCATTAATTGATTATTAATGAAATGCAAATTAAGGTGACAAAGAGATACCATGGCATATCTCTTGGAATAAGTAAAATCTTACAACTTGCTTTCTAAATTTCTGTGAGGATGCAAAGAAATGGAAGTCTTATACACTGCTGAGGATGATGTAAAATATTGCAACTATTTTTGGAAGATAGCTTATAGTCTGTCAAATAAACATCATATACCTGTGGTAATATTTGACAAGTTTCAGCCTTTAAATTCCTACGTGCTCACTTAAGAAAAATGAAAACATCTGTCCACAAGGACTTTTTTAGCAGTTTCTTTTAATGGCAACAACAACAACAACAAAACCCACTTCCACAAAAAAAATTCAAAAGTCATCCATCATGTGAACAGATGACCTTCATGTATCTAAGAAACTATCTGCAATAAAATAAATAAATAACTAGCACTGGACAATATGGGTAAATCTCAAAATAAGGATAATGACTAAAAGAACCCATACCAGAGAGTACATATTATATGATTCGATCTTATACAACTCTAGAAAATATAATTTACAATAACAAAAAGCAGGTCTGTATTTTCCCAGAAAAGGAATGATGGGAAGTATGTTTCCAGACAAGAGTGGATTTTAAAGGAGAGTAAGAACATTTGGGGGTGATTAATACCTTAATCACCTTAGTTTCCGGGATCATTTCATGTGTGTGTGTGTGTGTGTGTGTGTGTGTGTGTGTGTGTGCATGCGTGCATGAGTGCATGCGTGCATGAGTGTGTGTGTGATCATTTGTTTATGTATTTGAAATTTTACCTGTACTTCAATAAAGATGTGAGGTTTGGGGGAGGGGTTTAAGGTAAAGAAAGGTGGGGAAAGGAAAACTCTTTCCAGAGACAATGTGAGAATACTACACAGGAAGAAATAAGTAAATTGTCTGCTTCCAGCACACACCGAATTCCAATCCCCCCCTCCTTCATATTATCTGCAAATTTAGGGACTTTCTATTGAACTCTACCTTCATGGGTAACATACATACACAAACACGGCCAAACTATTAGCTCCTTTTCATAGTAACCAGCATCTGATGAGTGTCAAAGCCTGGAGATTTAATTGGCAATGTTCTTCTCTGAGAGAGTAAGCTGGTAAAGTGTGTTTACACGTTGGCAAGAGCTCTTTACCAGACTTCATGCAAGCCATGTCTCTCACACCAATAGTGATCTATTTTCATGAAGCCTGGGTGGTCCTGTCATGGAGCAGATGAAGTGTTTCTTCGTTGCAGCTAGGTAGACATTCACTGATAATTAATCATTCCCTTCTTGTTTGGTATTCCTGTTCACATGCATTCCTTTGGAAGTGCACTCATTCACAAGAGGCACACTGGTTCTCCTCCAGGAGCTGGGGTGGGGTGATGTCTTTAGGTTACTATTTGCTTCTTTCCCTATCTATCCTCCCTATGATGACAGTGATGATAAGGATGATGGTGGCAAAAGCTTTGGGTTCTTCCTGCAGCAAGTTGAAGATCTCTGATAAATGCAGCTGACGCTATTTCTGTAATGTTATCAGTCTTGATATTCTTATACGAGAACCAGTTCTTTCCCATTTCTTTGATTTACTCTATCAAAAGTACAAATGGTTTCAATTAAGAAGGAGTTATTTGTCAAATGGCTGCTTTGTGAGTCCTGCAGCTGGCCGACATAGTTGACTCCCATTCTGGCTCTTGCTTCTGACCAGAACTCATCCACCTGATAAAATAACAGAGATAGGTAAGATTTCTGCAGCGGGTGGAGCTATTTCCTTAGCACAATTATAACTCAGTTTCTGCCAGTTACTGCTATTCATGTAGAGCATTGCCTACATACAAAAGAGGCAGTTCCTATGACCTTGAGACACACAGTAATTGAGTTTGGACTGACAACTGACTTAGAGCAGAATCCTGCCAGTTATTCCATGATTAATTCAGTGTACTGGCAGAGAGTTCAGAGCTGTGGCTGCTGCTGTGACTGAGCTCTTGGCTTCAGGTTGAGAACTGACCTGCCAGGAGCTCCATTGCTACAGTCTAATCAAATAGATGGTTTATTCATAGCTTCTGGTTGCATCTGGAACACTCCTGATACACTCGAAATGGGAAAGCTGCAGCACCTATACTAGAATGCATTCTTAAAAGACTATCACCTTGGGGTACTGGTCCTTGAAAAATTCAGAATATATAACTGACTGATGCTCCCAGAACCTTTTGAGTTTTCAAGGCAGAAATATACTTCCAGGGCCATGATGCCAATAAGAAGAAAATTCCATAGGATCACACCAATTGAGAGATTTGGTGAAACTGATTCACCTTCTGAAACATCTTGAACACAGTACTATTGAGTACATGGCTCTGGCTTCCCACTGCTCCTTTTCCATTGCTGACATTATACATGTGGGGAATGTCTTTCCAGCCAGGGTGAAAGCACCCTTAAAACCTTTCCAAACCAAGTTAACATCTCCAATCAAAATTTTATATACAAGCCACATTTTTTAAGTCACCCTGGTCACATCTACTTGAGACTATAATGCAATGGTAGATATTTTATCACTCTTTGTCTTGTAAAATTCTTTTCAAGTAAATGTTTTTGAGAGTGACTAAAAATGTATAATAATAGTCAAATTATGTAACTAACCTAGGCACCCATCAACAGCTGTATGGCTAAAGAAAGGGTGAGATATATATATATATATATATATATATATATATATATATATATATATATATATATATCCACAGTGGAGTTTTAAGTCAGCTGTAAAGAAAGATGAAATCATGACATTTGCTGGGAAATTGATGCAGCTGTTATGTGAAATAAGCTAGACTCAGACAGTATGACCTGTTTTCTTTCTTATGAACAATCTAAATTTTAATGTACCTACTTAAATCACGTGAATTTTTAAAAAGGGACTTTGAAGGGAGAAAAGGTAGTCTAAGGCGGTGGAGAGAGTGGAACAGGCGGTTAACTGGGAGGGGGCAAATATCACTCATTTTTTCTCACGCGCAGAAGCTACACTAACATACATATATATGCATATGTTCAACATAAAGGTAGAAGAAGAGCTATGGAGGGAAGCCAGCAGACCAATAAGAGAGCCAGAGAATGGATGGAAGAAAAGTGTGTGGGTTGCATACATGATTAAAACATGATAATGACTATGATGATGTGTGTGTATTTGTGAAAATGGTATAAAATCGTTATTTTGTACAATAATTGAAAAGTGTTTTTAAATAATTATGTTTGATTTTTAAAAGTACTTCCCATTTCTTCAAGCATCTCTGTTAGAGTATTGAAATGTTTCTAAGTGTTTCCTTCAAGCTCAATCTGCTCCCCTAAAACAACCATTCCAATTCTCTGAGAGTTGCCCCTTGCCAATTATTGCCTGGTCAGTTTCTGGAACTTTGAGAAATTGGTGAGGGCACGGTTTACTGGAAGGTCTTGTGATTGTTGGCATGTGACATCATCTGAACATTGTAGAATTCGGTGTTTTTCCAGTCTTATCTGGCTTTATGCCTCTTTCCAGGAATCCTAAGTAGACCAGCTATGTTCTCAGAGCTGGTTGTCACTTTCACTGATTTGGCAGTAGATGGCAATGAGGTGGAGTTTGCCAGGAGTCTACAGTTAGTGGATTGTTACTTTTTCAGCAATAGAGGGCAATCCAACCAAGGATTATCCCAAACACACTCTTGGTGTGCTGCTCAAAAGCAAATAAGAGAGTATCCAGTCAGCTTCCACAGGCCTCTCACTGAGGCCAGAGTATGCATGGATGCCTCATCCATACTAATTGGCTTGAGGTCAGACCCTGCAGGATTCTGTGTAGCTCTGGAGAGTCACCCTGTAAGGACCAGCCACAGGTTTCTATGTTAACTGTGGCCATCAATAGTGTTAAGCCTGGTTACATTCTAAACTCACAGCCTACTAAGACCAGCACAGCCTGTGGGCTGAATGAAGGCCCATATTACCATGTGCTGCCTATTGCTTTGGTGGACTCATAGACCAATATAGTTGCAACCATCCACAGGTGATGCTAGCAGAAATAGAAGCCTGACGGGTGAGGGCTATATGTTTCCCCCTAGCATTTGGGAGAGGGCTTCTAGAACTCCCTCCACAGATACACCTAGGAATGGGGTTGCTGGGATCTCCCCAGTGTTTTTCACTAGCATTAAAATCTAAATCAATGTCTTAATCTTACTACTCTGTCTTCAGCAAATGGGGGCTTATAGCAACTCTATGCTGCCTAAGGTTGCAAGAATGTTGGTGAAGGCAGATCTTAGGCCACCTAGGCTGATACTAGCTGGACCATCCTTGAGTCTCACAGCCACAAAGTCCTACATGGTTTTAGGAGTTCAGTAGAACTCATGCTACAGAAGGCAGTGATGTAGTCCAGAAACAATGTCTGCCCCCTTTCTTGGCTTCTGGACAGCTCTAGAAACTCATCTATAGGCGAATATTGGAATGGCAGTATCTGTGTTCCTGAAGTTGGGAGACAGAAGATAGAAACAATCCCTTGATGATCAAGGCTGGTGCTAAGCAATGTTATATCTGACTCTCATGGTCACAGGGTTGCACTATCTCCAGATTACAGCGGTCATGCCTCTGGACCATTAATAGCCAGAACCTATGGGGCAGAAATATGGGGTCTGTCCACTAGTGTCCAATTCTCAACATGATGCCAGAGCTAGACCAGAAGCTCTGTGTTCTGGCCTGTCTTCCTGGCCTTCAGCTTCTACTGGATACTGAAGTGCAGGGAACCTGGTCTTGTCTGTAAGAGCTAGCTTTCATCCCCAGCAGGTGGAGTCCTGTTCCCTGATCAGCAGGTTGGAGGTTAGGTGGTAGAAGCCTCCAGGTCCCACAGATTTCCAGAAGCTCAGTCCCTTGCCCTGGTGTGTGTGTGTCTAGGTGGGGTGGTCATGAGGCTCTGCCAAGCAGTATTCTTCATGTAACTACATTATAAGTCCGCAGCCTGGACTAAATTCCTCCTTTGCCCCCAAGGAGGAAGCATCTCTCTAAATGCTGAGTTCCTTGGAATAAACTGTGGATGGACAAGCAGCTCCTCTGTCCTGCCTACTTCAAAGTGTCTTTGCCTGTCCCATCCACTGTCTGTTCCAAGGAACTCAGCATTTAGAGTGTGCACTGTGGTCCTGTCTGATCCCTTTAGCTGTTGTGGAAGTACTTTGATTTATGGACAGACACCCAACTTGGTGTGCCTGTAGGGAGAGAGAATCTAGCCCCATACATGTCATTTTTTAAATAGATTATTTATTTTCTCCTTTTAATAACAAAAAAATCATGACACCTCTATTTTATATTACTTAAATATATAATTATTATGCTTAGACAAAAATAGCATTAATGAAATATATATGGATGTATTACATGTAGTCAAGTAGATATTGAGAGAGACCACTCACCAAATTTATTATACAGAGTTCATATAACAAATGATGGTATTTTATAGTGCTCCCACTGTAAATGCCATATGATAGCACCTCAGATACGATTCAGTGTTTATATGTTCCCTACATTGAACTCAGTAATATAATAAAATACCTCTTTTAATTTAAGTGTACAATATACGACAGAATCAACACCAAAATGTGTTATTATTTCAAGAAAAGCAAAAGTTATATTGAATCAAAATCTAATTATCTACCTCAGTATGCAAGTATAAATAAAGGCAGTCAATAATTAATGAAATGCTTTTCTGGATTAATTGGAAGTAAGGTTATTATTCTGCATAAGTTATGATTAATCTGAGACTGCAGATCATATTGATGCTGTTTTTTGATTCTTTTAACATTCTCACTGTAAAAGAAATCTAGAAAATAGCCTATGGAAAACTATGGAACCATGATGGCATAAAAAATTCAATCCCCTGCATTTCTGCTCCAGGTCCAACATCAGGCCTTCTACTTTGAAGGTTCTGTCACACTTCAGTACCTCATGCTGGAGTTTCAATCCTCACATCTGTGTTGTTGACAAGAGAGAAAACACAAGGGATGGAGGATTCCTCTCTACAGATCTGGTTTCCTTTAATGGGTCCTTCCAGAGTCTCCATTCCATTCACTTCCTTCCTGACCTCTCTTATGTCTTAGCATCTGGTGCTTTGGGTTTGGGTTTTCCTGGGTGTCATGTTATGTGAGATCTTTCTGATAGTTTGGACATGCATACCTCTCAACTTTTCTCTTACAACTAATTGTTCTAACCTCACTCAAATGGTGCTGGTAGCTTCTGCTTTCATTTTCACTTGATTTTAGGAACTTTTTAAACTTCCTAATTTCATCAGTGATCACTGGTCATTCAAGAGTATTTTCATTCAAGAGTTCATTCTCCATTTATTCTTTAGTTTCTGTAGTTTTTCTTGCCATTTGCTTCAGGATTTACTCCATTGTGATCTAATAAGACACAGAGGTCATTTTGCATTTGGTTGGTCCAAAACCTAGAATGTTCTCTATTTGAGAAGATTCTATAGGCTTCTGAGAAGATTGTATATTCTGTTTATACTGAGTAGAGTCCTCTGTAGATGTTTGTTAAGTACATTATATCTATGTCACAGTTTAAATTTAAAAACCTTGTTGGATTTTAGATGGAAGAGATAAAAGGAAATCACCCATTATTAATTATATCAGAACCTATCTGACCTTCATTATCAATCAACGTGATTGAAGAAATTGAACACGTCCCAGTGTTTGGTGCACATATGTTTATACTTGATATGATATCTTCATGGATTGCCCCCTTTGTTAACATGCAGTGGACTTCCTTATCTCTTCTGGTTAATTTTGGTTTGAAGTCTACTTTGTCAGCTATCAGAAGCTTGTTTTCATCAGCAGCTTATCTTCAGTTTCCATTTACTTGATATATTGTTTTCCATCTTTTGACACTCAGGTTGTAGATGTCTTTACTGCTAAAAAAAATTTTTTAGATCTAGATTCTAATCCAGTCAACCAGTCTGTGTCTCTTTATTGGAGAGTTGGAAGCATTTACATTTCATGCTATTATTGAGAGATTTTCACTAACTTTTTAAAATTTTGTTCATTTTTATGATTGGTTGGATTCTTATTTGTTCTCACTTTCTCCCCTATCAGTATTAGGGGTTTTCTGGGTAATTGTGTTAGACATGGTGTATTCTTTCCTTGTTGTCCTTTATTTAACTATTATCTCTTGAAGTTTATTATTTTCTGGATTTTGGAGAGTGAGACATTCTTCTTCTGTATAGTAGACCTTGAAGCACCTTCTGCAATGCTAACTTGGTGGTCATGAACTGCCTTAGTTTGTGCTTCTCTTGAAATGTTTTTGCTTCTACACCAATTTTTAAAAGACACCATTGCAGGGCATGGAACTCTTAGTCAGCAGTTACTGACTTTCTATGCATTCTTGGCTTTGAAAATTGCTGATGAGGGACTATATATTATTTATATAATAATATATATTATATTATATATTATGTTTCTATGTTGGTAAATGGGTTGGTCTTTTTCCTTTACAGCTTTTTGGATTGTTTATTTGGTTTATATTATTGACATCTTGACTATGCCATGAGGGTAACTCTCGGTTGATGAGATCTGTTGCTGGCCACCACCTGAGAGCAGCGTTATGTTTCCCTATATACATCCCAACACATAATATTTCATCCAGTCAGGATCCAGACTGTCTGCCTCTCTATAGTTGCCTCTCTGGGCCTTTCTTGTGGTATGTCAAACTGAGGCTTCCTGACCTGTGGGTGTTCACTGATATCATGTTCTTGGAGTAGTTCAGTTTTTAACAATAGACTCTACCTCAATACGGCACCAGACCATTGCACTCTAAATGGGATTTCTCTACACTGCTGACCCTTCTGCCAGAGGAATCACAGCTTCACCAATACCTAGGCTTATCCTGGGGTTAGGACTGCTTGCCTTTGGTTGAAAATTGTGTCCTCTCCTACCACTAGGACATTGAACACCTAGGGCTGTGTTTGGCCTTCTTCTCTGTCTGCTGGCATGGCTTCACTGATTTTTTTGGTATCCTTTGACTTTCATCCAAGATTTCCTTTTGTTTTTCTTTATTCTCAAGCTCCCATTGAAGCTTCCTCTAGCATCTATCTTACACAAAAGTTGCAGTACATTCATGTAGGCTGTGAAAACCTCTTGCAGATCCTTTTAAATTCACTTGACTTCAGTCTCATGTTCATAATGGTGACTGGGGTTGATAATTACTTCTCTAATCTCTAGCAAAACTTCTAGTCATGCAACACCAATAAGAGTTCCTAATTTAATTTCTAATGTAGTACAGACTCCCAGCAATTAGAGTAACCCAAATCACCTCTTTTATACAGAGGAAAACTCTGAGGTACAGGTAGGTTACTTGGGATCTACAACTAAACCTGTAGCTGGACCCCACTGTAAGTGCAGCACTCCCATGGTGCGTTCTGGGTCACAGTTGCAATTCACTGGCTGCGTGCTCTTCATCAACTTGATTAACTTCAGTGTCCTTGGATGTAAGCCCTAACAACATGATATCTCTACTATAGGGCTCTCAAAGGACAGAGGAATTAGCATCTGGAGTTCGCAGCAGTCTCTGACACAGTCATACAAGGGTACTTACAATCGGCAAGAGCAGAGGTAGCAGTAAAACTATTACTATGGTAGCCATTCCATAGAGGCAGCATAGAGAGGCTCCCATAAATGCAATATTTTAATATCAGGATTTCTAAAAGAAAAGGAATTCATGGAAGCATAGAAAATACGAGCAGATAATCAACTAAGATCTCAAATCTATTATTGACTGCACATGCCATCCTTGTACAAGAGCCACCCAGGCTTCTCTGGGTTGCTTTAATTCCAGTACATGTGCTGCCAAAGAGAAGCCTGTTACTTACTTTGAATAGAGACTTGTCTGTATCTTGTAGTAAAGAAAAAGATAATTTAGTCCTTTTAAGATATATACAACCACTGTAAATACTAAGAACAAGACTGATCTGTTTTTCTTTTCCTGCTGAGACTGCCAGACACATTAGAAATGACAGCAGCTGACTGCGAGGGGAGTAGGGAACCAGATTCAGTTTGGATGGGGCCGAGTACAAGACTCGTTCACATGAGAAAGGTGGGAACGGCTAATGTGGAACACAGAGCCAAGGTTAGACCGATGAGCTGAGCTTGGCCTCTCCTGGTAGTTTTACTTCTGATTGAGAGGACTCCTCTTCTCCCTCCAATCTTTTTTCTCAATTTCATATTTTATGCATTATGCATGTAATATTTCATAAAGAAAAACAAATAAACAGCTCTGTGGTGGAAGAGGACCACTAGTTTGAAGTCTGGGCTCCATTGGACTACGCTTCAGAGACTGTATCAAAAGACAAATGTTAATCAATCAATTAATTAATTAAAAATGTATCCTCCTCTATTGCGTGAATGGCAAGAAAAGAATATATCAGTCTTCATTTTTTAAAAACAATACAAAATAATCAACCAGAAATAATTACTAAAAGAAAAATATATTGATAGATATGATCAAAGTGTTATTTTCTACAAATGGATTTTGAGTGTGCAATTTCTAGGGAGGAGATCTCAAAGTTCAATTTTTTTCTTTCTAGAAGAAAAAAACAGATTACAGATTGGAACAAAAAGCAAATAGTTGTGGGGAAAATAAAGCCGTTCCACATGCGGAAGCCCAGAACAGTCTGACTCTCTGGATAAAATATTACGACTGCTGTTTGAAGGACGGATGCCTGTGTAACAGCCCTAAACTGTGTTCTTCCCATGGCTGCAGGGGGACTTTCACCAAATACAGAAGGAAACTTGTAGCAGGAATCTCAAAAGTTCTTATTAATAAAAACAAACCTGGGTCAGGTATTGGGGAGAATGCTGAATGACCAGAGAAACAGAACAAGCCACAGCCACCTCACCTTGCCAGTTCCTCAGCTGATCCTATTTCCTCAGACTGGAAACCTCTGTGTCCTCATCCAGAATGAATCTCAGCTGAACTGCTGCTTGAAAGCCTGAAAGCTTAACCAGCCAAATGCTTAACCAACCAAAAGCTTCTAGTTTCTGGTCCTCACACCTTATATACCTTTCTGTTTTCTACCACCACTCCCTGGGATTAAAGGCTAGCTTTCTGGGATTAAAGGCGTGGGACTAAATGCTTAGCTGTATCTTTGAACACATGGATTTCTGCCTCTGGAATGCTAGGATTAAAGGCGTGTGCTACCACTGCCTATCCTCTATGTTTAATATTGTGGCTGTTCTGTCTCTGACCCCAGATAAATTTATTAAGGTGCCCAATATTTCAGGGAACACAATACCACCTCAGAAACTCCCTTCCTTTTCTTCCATCTTCACATTCTTGTCATCTCGGCTCCTCCAACACCTCACATCAAATTGGCCAACAGGTAGATGTGACTCCTTGAGGAGGGAACACACACAGTTAAATGAGAGACTCTGTCCTTTACCTTAAAGTACATGCATAGCTGAAAGGCATGATACTTTCAGGAAGGATAACACTCAGGGCAGAGGTACATACAGTCAGGTTCAAAGCAATGTAATACAACAGGTAGTCCCCAACTCCAGTGCTTTCAAAGGCTGCACTAGACAGCTTGTTCCCTCCATCATGGAGGATCCACAGGCCCCAAAGTTTAGAATCTGAGTGGATACCTGGAATCACATGATGTCCTGAGGTCATCCAAATTTTTGCTCTCAAACCCCCTTTGCTTCTATTCGACCACATTGTAACCTAGTGGTACTCCAAAAACGGAAGAGAAAATGGCATGAAGAACTGATAGAACATCATTGAGTTCATAAAATTAGGAATACTTTCCTTTGTCTGTGGGGAGGTCTGTGGTTGTAATTAGCATATTTAATGGAAATGGATTTATACTTAAGATGTAAAACCATTTAAAAATATTCCAATTTTTGGATCTAAGCCTCTTCTAGCAGGTATGCTATTTGATAAACTTACTCTTGTTTGCTCATGCATTCAGCAATACCTTTGAGCAGGCATTCCTGTGCACATACTTGCTCACTTCATCTAACAAAATATTGACTTTTATAACACACATCCCTTTGTAGAAAAGGAAGACAGAGTGAAAATTCAGGTCCAAAAATGACTTTGTAGTTTCTCATGAACAAGCTCTAAGATTTTATTAGAGTGACCAGACTCTATTCCAAGTCTTACATTTTTCTGAAGCTCAACAGAAAGCACAGTCTTATACTATCCTATCAGAACAGGAACAAAGCTAAAAGAAGCCATAATTATCCATTTATAATTGACCCCCAGTAAATCTAATGATAAAGCATCCATGCAGCCTGGTGCATGAAAGGCAATAAAAGAATAAATAAATGGTGTCTTTTATTGGGACTCAATTCTTTTTCGAAACCTATATTATCAGCTCTTGGAGAATGTAGGTTAACTACCCTTTTTTAAAATATGCAACTGCTATTACTATTCTGAGAATTCTCAGGAATTAACAACCATGCTGTCATACATGGTGAGTTTTCTATATACTGGTCTACTGGTATACTGCTCTGTGAGTTAAATACCTGTTGATTTCTGTGACTGAGGCTGGGGTTTTCTTGGGTAAAGCATATTTTATCAGAGAGGGCATAAAGAGCATTACCACTGTGAGCAGGCTGAGCTTTCCCAGCAAGAGGAAGGTACCAACAATATTGTCAACTGAGCCACCATGAAAACAAAACAAAACAAAACCGTACAATCAGATTTCACCATTTTCCTAAAGAATCTACATTTGCATTTTAAATCACATTTTTGTATATTTATTTCCATGTTTCTTTTGGCTTTTAAAGCTGAAACAGAGACTAACACTGCCCAAGACTAGCATTTATTAGAGTGGGGAAAAAAAAGACGGCACATTTTTTTTCTAAAGTATTTCTTTCAGATTAGTTATTTCAGAAAGCCATGTTGACAGGCAGATGGGGGAAGAGATGCAAGATAGTTTCGGAGATTGTAGGAATCTCAGCACCTGAATTTCCATTTTAACATTTCAATTTCTTGCTAGTCAATGAATTAATGTGGATGACTACATTAAAACGTATACAACAGAAATACACAAACACACACACACACACACACACACACACACACACACACACATCTCAAACTTGCTCTCATGGTACATGTTAAAATTATATAGTTTATCGTGACAATAAATTTACTGAAATTAAATCAAATTAAACATCTCTTAAATTTTCCGTTAGCAACAATCTTTCTACAAGTTAACTAAGTTTTGTTCATCATCTCTCCAGCTCAATAACCTAAAATACTACTAGTATTCATAAGGGATTGCTAAGCATTAAAATATAAACCAGAGTTCACATTAATTGGATTGTGAACTTACTGCTTCATCTTTGAAATGGGCCAGTGCCTCCCCATTAAATGATTAACACACCTGACATTCTCATGGACTTTGTTCCATGACTTCATGGCTGGACAAATATAAAAAGGCCCCTGTTATTTTGTGACTAAGGGACATGCTGAATACTGAAACATGAGCCAAGGAACAATAGAAAAATAGTACAAGTAAACTGTCAGCTTTCTAACAGAAATCTTAAAAGGGAAATGTATAGCTGTCATTGATTCAAGTGACCTGAAAGGCTGATATTATTGGATATTCTAATTCTTCTTACCTTACTATTCTGTCTCATTTGTATGTATCTAAGGATATCCTAGTCTGATTTCTTCCAGAATTCAATGGTTTCCTCCGTGAGTTGGTGGTGATGATGATGGAGGAGGGGAGTGCAAGGATAGTTGCAATAATGATGAAGTCCTGTGGGTTTGTATGTAATTCATAAAAGAAGGTATGCATTGTATTTTTAAGCATTTTATGAAAGATACAGAAAGACCCTAGTCTCTCTGGGGAATGCATTCCAATGGCAGACCATTTGACTAGTATGAGTGAGGTCCTGGGTTCAATCCTCACTGGAAGAAAAAGAATAAAATATCCTGTCTCAAAATGTTTATATTTTAATTAGTAAAAGGATATGTGGGAAATGAACAATAGGGTCAAATCACTTCTGATGGTTTGGTCATCCCTTGTAACTTAATGGTAAGACCCTCTTGCTGAAGATAACACATACTTTGATCATTGGACATGGAGAAATAAAGTTGGTATCAACCTAAAAGCAAGAAAAACTGTCCAGTAGGAACATAAACCCTACAAGCTACAGTAATGACCAGCCTGTCAAGATATACCCACTGGTGCAATAGTGGCATGAGTGTTATGAAAGCAATCATCTACATTTCTGATTGGATTTAAGGCTAGTTTGACAAGACAGAACACTTGTCTGGAACCATTAACAGGGCCCAAAACCCAAGGCTAGGTAGGTTATAGGCTTTATGGGATAACCTACTGCTAAATAAATATAACTTTAACCAACTTGTCATTATACCCATTGGTTAGTACATCTCTCAACCCTCATATGAGCTTCATTTTGCCATAGATGGTGATTAACACAAAGACCCACAACTGGTTAACATGAGACGAATAAGAAACTACAATTAAGTTCTTAGACTTAATTGGGACATCTAAATCCCACCACTTCCTCCCAAGGTTCAGGAATCATCAATGGAGGGGCAGAAGATGACCACAGCAAAACAACAGGAAATTGCACATATAAACTGATAGAAGGTGTGACAACATGCATAAGATCTGTACAAGATGAAGCCAGACAAAATCCCAACTTGGATGTGGGAGGAGTTTGTGAAGTCCCACCTCCAGCTGAGGAGCTATTGGTGATTGGTGAGAGCAGGAGTCAGTTTTATTCAGGCATGAAGCTTCTGAGAGGCTGCCCATGCTCTGTAGATGCCCCCACATCCATTCATATCCTGGCAGTACTATGGGAACTCTATAATTAAAAATAAAATTAAAAAAACATGAAATTGAGAAGGAATAATAGGATAGGAACTGGGCAGGAGCTAAAGGGGAGGGAATGGGTGACAGACTTGGTCAAAACACATTATATGCATGCACACGTGAAATTGTTAATTATTAAGATAAAAACATAAACTAGAATGTTGTGGATGGAGTGAGTCCTGTTCAGAAAAAGTGACCTGAACGGCCCACTTGAACTTTAGGATAAGAAGGACTCTGTGTATATTTTAAATAGAGAAAGCCTAGAGAGAAGTAAGCAAGCAGGAGAACAGAAAGGAACACACTCCAAAACAGAGGCAAGAACCATACTTCTATGGCATGAGAGAATATTGGGGCTACTCATGTGCGACAACTACTACCTATACTGACTACTTAGCTTAAAAAAAATAAACAAACAAACAAAAAAGCAGATGGCTCACAATTTGAATTGAGATATATGGGAAAACTTCTGGGAAATTTCCTTTTGATTCACTGGAGCTACACCACACACAGCCCACCAACCTCACAATCCTTTGTCCTCCATCCTGAAATCTCACCCCAGGACCTCTCCATTTGACTTGTTCGTCTCACAAGTTGGCAATGGAGCTGTCTATGAAGACTGCCTTCTCCCTAACATACCCAAGATCCAGACTCTGAGCTATTATTTCAGTCTTTTGGCTGCTTTTTGTTATTCCAATAAAGCACTGAGGCTACACTTCCTCAAAGAGAGGAAAACTCAATGCTTCCCTTCCATAGGAGGAATGCCAAGGAATTTGTGTTCATGTAAAATACCCCAGAAGACTCTGTGTTTCACAGGAACTCTCCCAGGGTGTGAGTGGTATAAGAGGCTACTAGAAATTATAAGCATTAAGCACGGCAATGGCATGATTTTATTTTTGTCTTGAAAAGATCATTTTAGCCAGAGTGACTAGCTAACAGCTATTATAGTTACCTGGATAGAAAAGTACAGTGGAAAATTAAATAGAGTGAATAAGAAATGCATTGGGAGGGGCTTATAGTTGTCTGGATTTGGAAGAGAGAAGAATCAGGGTGACTCCAAAGATTTAACTCAGGACTTGAATGTGGTGGTGTCCACCAAGACAGGAAAGAGGGGCTGAAACTGTCAACATGTCTCATAAAATTGTCCCAGTCATACCACAGGGTAGCTTTGTGGTACAAGTTATCATGAACATCTGCCCCTAGAATAAAACAGTATTGTTGTCAAAACAGTTACATCTCACACATTTAAATAATGGGAGAATTGATCCAGAATTAGCTCTGCTATCCGGTTAACATGTCTTCCCACTATGCACCATAATAGTTAACTATCAGTCACTAGTGTAACAAACAAATTGGAAATTATCTTTTTCTTATTTTGAAACTACTCAATGCATGTTCTCCCCTGCACAGAAGAGGAGCAAGGAGGATGAACGCAAGCAAAGCCTTTCTTCTTAGTGACTGTAGAATTCGCACAGAGTGGGATGACTGAGTTCCTTAGCATTTACATCAAATCGAGTTTGGCTTTTTTCTGTTACATAT